TGTGTGTGTGTGTGTGTGTGTGTGTGTGTGTGTGTGTGTGTGTGTGTTTGCCTCCCACGCGTTGCTTCTCGAGTTTGGTTGTGTATCTTCACTCTGCTGGCGCCCACACACACACACACACACACACTGCTGCCGTGTGGATGGAGTGTGTGTGTGAGTGTGTGTGTGAGATGATAACGATGATGATGATGATGATGATGGTGGTGTGTTCACCCTGCAGCTCTGATCTATTATCTGCTGTTCAAAGAGCCTTTTGGAAACTTCAGAAATAGAGAATGAGTCAGTGAAACGACCATAAGCTTCCACCGTATCGCTCTCAACACACACACACACTCTCACACTCTCACACTCACACACTCACACACTCACACACTCTCACACTCACACACTCTCACACTCTCACACTCTCACACTCTCACACACTCTCACACACTCACACTCTCACACACTCTCACACTCTCACACTCTCACACACTCTCACACTCTCACACTCTCACACACTCTCACACTCACACACTCACACACTCTCACACTCACACACTCACACACTCTCACACTCACACACACACACATACACACTCGCACACACACTCACACACTCACACTCTCACACTCACACACTCACACACACTCACACTCACACACACACACTCTCACACGCTCACACACACACTCACACTCTCACACACACATACACACTCGCACACACACACACGCACTCACACACACACACGCACTCACACACACACACTCACACGCACACGCACACACACATACTCACACACAAATACACACACACGCATACACACACACAAATACACACACACGCATACACACACACAAATACACCCTCACACTCTATATGACTCTACCCTCCTACCTGTGTGTGAATGGACATACAGTGAGTTTCAGTGAATGACTCAGAGTTGAGATCTATTGAATGAACAAAATCAGATTTGTGTTTTATTTAGTAACTGTTTCCTGTTCACTGAGAGGACAGACCGGTACCTGATTGGACCATTTTGGTGATGTCAATAATCAATAATCCATAGAATCTATGGTAAATACATAATAATAATCCTCTGTTAGGACACTTCACTGACTGGAGATTGGAGGCTTTTATTCTGAAAGGGTCCATTCTAATCTCCTCTCCTTCAGTCTCTCCTCCTCTCCTCTCCTCTCCTCCTCTTCTCCCCTTTCCTCTCCTCACAGTCTTCAGGTCCATTACTTATCAGCAGGCCAACCTCTAAATGGATTCTCCAGGCTTTTACATCCTCCCCCCCCCCCCCCTCCTCCCCCCATCTCATCACTTGTACTTCTGCTCTCTGTTACTTCCTGTTTCTTTCTAGCGAGTTTCTCTGTTTGTCCTCTCAGTTTGTCCTCTCCTCTGCTCTCTCCTCTCCTCTCCTCTGCTCTCTCCTCTCCTC